TATTGTCTGATGCTGCATGTGACGTGCAGAGCCAAATAAAAATACAAAAACCATTCGATCATAATTGCATGGTATGTACACTGTACAATTTATGATATAGACTAGCAAGAAGTTGTGTTTTTTTGTTTTCAGTTTTTCACCTTTAAGCAACCTTCATATATGAAATCACCTTTACCACAATCTTGCTACAATCAACTCTGTTTTATTTTGTTTGATATCACATGTAAAACAAGTACAGTAAATTATTAGATGCAATTTAAGCATGCGAAGATGAGAATTGCCTTTTCATCACTTATTATGAAGGGTAAACGACTAGTTACATACCTCTTTTACCGTTGTGAATGTACTTTCAAACTGTTCACTTATCAATAAGCTTCTCTTTTCAATRTCTCCTCGGAGATTTCGTCTCGATCGTAGACTATTATCACTGAAGAAAGTAGACAAGGCTCGAAGAGCTTCAACAATATCCTAATYAAACAGGTACGAAAATTGAAAAATTAGCAATTAAATTGAAAAGTTTGACAATGATATGAAGAATATTCATTATATCACACTACCTTGTCATTATCGAGTCTTGTTTCTAGGATTTTATTCAGTTTTCTGGAGAGAGGATTGCTTTGTTGGACAGAAGACTCTGTTTCCGCCATCTTGTTCTACGTGGACTATCTCAGGTACATACTTCATGTGTTCTTCATAATAGGGTCCTCCTGGAAAWACAAACATTTTATACGTAGGGGTTCCTGTGTATAATAATTCTATCATATTGATTTGATTTATTCCTGGTACTATACTTTTTTTTCGTTCCTATTTTATTCAAATTTGCATTAACATTGTATTTAAACTGCAAATATTGGGATACGTTGYTCCCTCAATCTTCAAGTACTGGATTCCCTGTGGTACACGACCAAAAGTCAAGCGGTACTGACTCTAAAATGTTTTTGTAAAGTTGTAGTGTATCATTTCCTTGTATAAAATATTGCTACTAGATAAAATCTAATTGATTATTTACGTGACCTGCGCCATTAAAAGTTCTGTGACATTGGGGTAACCGTAGGAAACCCAATTTCGGTATATTACGCTCCTGCGATTCTTTTGCCCAGCGGTTTTCCAGAGTGACGCGGGGCGACTTGCACTAAGAGGTCACGTGATCAAATTCGCCATTGTGGCTGGCATTCTACAGGATTTTAGCTTTTTTTAGTTTTTTTTTGGTGATAAACTGAGTTAGCACACTAAATAACTATAAAAACGCTGTCGCGGTTCCAAGGCTGTCGCACTCCACAGCAAGAAAACGCTAGTGTTCAACCAGTGCATGGTCTTGAAATGTTTTTATTAGACAATACACGGTGAAAACTACAATAAACGATTACAATAATGAGATGAGGAATAGGAATCACTTGGGCAGGATAAAGTACAAACATAATAAAATTCTGAGATAAAAACTTACATCTTTCGGGCGTAAAAACTCCACAGAATACAGAACAATGTTAAGACTTAAGACTACTAGAAAAACACGTGAAGACAGGGGACGCTAAAGGATCATATTACACCGGAAACGAAATACGAACAAGAAAGGATAGGTTAGGTATTAATGCAAATAAACGCTTGAGACACTAATAGCCTAAAAATATAAACACTAAACTTAACAAACGCCCTCTTTTTTCGTTCAAAAGGGATCGTAAATTACGCTCTTTCTAATAGTTAAAGGTGTACTTCCTTCTAATAAAGAACCCGGTACTTTTCGCTGCTCTCGCAAACGTTGCTACACTTGCCCCTTTGTTGCTTCACAAACTCCTATTAAAGGTCCCAAATCCACCCCTAATATTACAGATATCATTTTGATTGTACTTCTTCTAACATGCTCTATGTTGGAGAAACTGGCCGCCGATTAGGTGATCGTTTTAGAGACCACCTTTACGACATTCGCAAGAAAGATTTATCTAAACCAGTTGCTCGTCACTCTGCTAATCAGTCTGAGCTTAATGCTATTGTTTTTGGTCTGTGTTTAACCCACGGCAGCAACAATCATCGTAAAACAAATTAAAGAAATCTCAAATGCGCTTAATTCATTCACTTGGCACCGTTAATCCTCACGGGATGAACGAACGCTTCGCTTATAATTAAGTTATTTCTCACCTATTGTTGCTTTCGATCCTTTTGTTTTCCTTTGTTTTATGGCTTGCTTTTTTCTTATTGGTTTGTTTTCTCTCTCCTCTACTATACAAACATCTCTCTCACTCTTACTTTCTATTGACTCCGACGAAGGACTAACGTCCGAAACGTCAGTTCCTATTTTCACTACGGTGTAAAACTTATCAATCTACGATAACTATAAAAATCCCCTTTTCTTGCAAGAAATAYATTCTTAGTAGATATCTTAAATAGATTTTTGCTATTAACTCGCCAAGAAGRAAAAAGTATGRTATTTTTTGCGCTGCAATGTGAAGACCTACGAAGTCGGGTGGTATGGTCRTGTACGGGTTAACCATCTACGTCATTTTCGGAGCACCGACGGATCAACAAATTACGTCATATTCGGGCAACCATCGGAACAAACTATACTATTCGTGTACTCTACTCTACTCTTTTCTACCTCCACTCTTTTCCAAAATCCCTGTGACACTGTGACACTACCGGAAGTCGAGTAGTCTAATGTTCGCGTACTCCACTCTTTTCCAAAATGCTTTCCATGCATCACAAATTCTTTCGTATATTTTTTCATTGACAATCCAAAACATACCGCCTCCCCAGGCGAGTTTGAAGCGACGAAGCTTTTATTGGCACATCGTTCGGTCATCCGGACCTCAATGTTTCTATGGCAACTGCTATAGAAAACTGTGTAAATGAATTCCTTTGATTGGATCGGATGAATTTGTTCTGAATTGACCTACTTCACTATGACGTCACTGCTTGTTTATGTGGGGRATAGAATTGCAAATTTAWTCTGAAATGGCCTGGTTTTCAGATATAATATGTACTAATATGCTGGCTATTCTAYTTTTCTTCGTGGATTGATACGGGTTTTAGAACAATTTTCGGTGAATTCGCGTTGATTTGACCCCCTCGACGACCATGATCCTTTGCGTTTATAAGGTAATACTTTATTCACTTGACTGTGAAGATGACTTCCGCTCAGGTTGTCGAAACGTATAAGTCACATCAAACAGTCCTCTTCGTTTAACATTAAACCAAATTGGCAGATTCAGTTCCACTCGTCCCTCTCTCTTCTTCGTCAGTTCTCATATTTCGCTATTCTKCCGTGAATTTTGCGACATACTCATAATTGCCTTTAGAGTCAAAACGTTCAAGATCTTGTCGCTCAACGTTTCACCATGCTTCGACATCATTCAGTAGTGAGTATACTTTATGCTGATGCTACTAGTGAGGTGTGATAGTGCAGAATGGTACACAATATACGTAACTCGAGGTCCTGTTTTACTATGAGATTCACTTCGAACGCTAATCGTGCTAACTAGCTAGACTAAAGCCCCGTCTACAAGAGCAATTTTTATGTGGCAACTTTTATTTGCTCGTGKAGACGATCGACAAACATTTGTGCGTCAGTAATAATTTCGGCCAGCGGAGATGCCTATGAAATTAAGGCTAGGGTACAAAGCAAGATGGCGCCAATATAGAAAACAACTAGAAGTGCTGCTGCAATAGCCTGCGTCACATCCGGAAWTTTCTTCGTAAATACCGTATTTACGAAGAAAATTCCGGATGTGACGCAGGCTACTGCTGCAATAACCACTTTATTAATGATATATTARATAGAAAAGACCAAAAAATACATAGAAAATGTTGGGTAAAACCCTGGAAAACCCAATTACGTAGAGAGGCTCAAGGATTTGCTGATAATCTAGTAAAAGAGTTGAGGGAAACAGATCGTGATGGCTTTCAAAACTTTTTYCGGTAAGWAGTTTCAAGTTCAATTTCCCGTTCTTTTCTTGTCATCGTTCTCTCGTATCATGTACGTGCTCTGTTCATTGAGCACTCACTGAGAAATAAATGCCGGAACAATCAATCCATAACRTTGTGCTTAGGCTGCGTTCATAATGTATGGCTAGGGGAGGGGGGGAAGGTAGCTGAAAATTTGAAATGTCCAGAATAATTCTTAACACCCCAATTCTTAAAGTCATGGAAATAACTATACGATTTCCCCGATTAATAGAATCTAATTACTAAAACCGCTCGACTAAGAAGTGTGACAATCGGAGCATRGACATATGAAGTGTTTCTAGATCTATTTCCTCCAGTGTCAGTGAATGCGTGCAAGATCTAGAATTGCAAAAAAAGAGAAATGTCTTCAGTAGTAGCGGAAGCCGACAAGTGTTCTAAAGCTAAAGATATAAACAAGTGAGTGAGACAGAAATGAAAGGGGAGGCTGAAATAGCTAACGTACCTGAGACAGAAATGAAAGGAAGAGAGTAAGATGCCATATTGGATTCAAAGAGAAACACATGGTTTACAGCTGAAACAACTGAAGAGTTTCAAAAATGAAAGGTAGARAACAGCTATATAAATTGAGGATAGTATTTTTCATCCTGTTATATACAGTGTCTTCCTGCAGCACTAGAGTACAGGACGGATCGAGTTGACTGAGCATATAGTTGTGAAGGTAAGATATTCTCAACCATATATTCTCATTATTCATTCCTATAGAATATTTGTTGCTCAGYGTTTTGGTAATCAATGTTTCGTGTATAAAGTTACTACTTCACCTACTCAGTGATTAAAAAAGCATACTGCCCGAGGTTTGGCAGACTCGGGGCTTAAAATAACTGAGGAGAAAGTGCCTTTGTAATTAYATCTGCAAATGCGGGTTAGACTTTTATGTGCCTCAGATGACCACTTTAAATGGAAGAGGACGTTTAGAAAAGGAAATCCTTGCAGAAACCACCCACCTCAGTGCTGACGTACTAGCCTTCTCTCACGGCTCAGTCAAGATTGTGAGCGCCTTTGATTGCTGACTTACACTATATTATTTTAAGTATACAGGGCATTATAAATCATTAATCTTTAGAAATCATTAATCTTTTATCGAAATATGAGGTCCTTGTTTTTCTACAAAGTTCAAAAGCAATAACATTTAAGGATTTAGCTAAGAAGCATGAATCATTTCTCGACGTCTTCTTGCCACTATTTTGCTACTATTTGTTRCAGGATCAGGACAGCTGGTTCCTTTTTTACGTAGCTCTGTTTTCCAGTCAAGATACCCCTATCATCAGAAGTGCTATCACGAGATGTTTATTGCTTACAGGGTCATTGCTCTTTTTTTTCTGCTCGGAATTTGTTTTTCGTTTGAACTTCCGGACCTCGACGGTAAGACCAATCGTGTGCTCGAAAATCACTTCACATTATTTTGTTAAATTTTGTTATATATTATGTCTTCCAAAAAATCTTRTCAATCTAAAATACCTCACGTGGATACCGATCGAGTCTGGCGGGAAACATTTACTTAATAAGCTTTGATATACTATCATCGATCTATTTTTCTCATTATCTTCAGACTATACRTAACGCCATTAGTAATATTTTATCGATGAAATACAATTTTAGTGGTTCTTTACTATGTAATGCGATTACCAGAATTCTTACCCAAAGGTGTTAGTATTCACTCATTTTCACATGTGAAATTACATGTGAAGATATCGCTTTTTATAGTAGTGAGAAAAATAGAGATTATCACATGTTAAGAGCTTGATATCGTTTTTACATTCACGAGCTTCCATGTCATATCGCGAACGAGCGAGTCCGTAATTTGTTTGTTACACATTTAGGGGTGAAAAAATGACAAAATTTACAGTTTCCAGTTTACCGTCAAGTGATATCGTGTCACTTCACTAATATGGTTTTTATTCACGGCTTTACCACACGGATATAGACGTTAAATGTGTAATAAATATAGRTATGTTTCATATATGATTACATATTTTAAAAAGGTTATTAAGTAAATGTTTCCGCCGGCTGAATGAATACCACGATTCTTTCAGCCAATCGAATTGCAGAATTTTTATTTTGGGTCATATCAATTCATTCAAAATTTGTTAATCTAATAACGAATCTTTTAGAAGTGCAAAACTCCGATGACAACGAACTGGAAAAACTTCTTGCCTCCGTTCGTCTCCTTGTTACTGGACTGAAAACTGATATCAAGGTTCAAGAAGCAAAAATCAAAAACCTTGAAACAAATTACAAGGTAAAAATCAATTGAAATATGAATTTATTGTACTACACCATTGCAGAGACCCTACGCAGAGAGTCGGGAGGGCTCTGGGACGTGGGTTTCCCTCAGTCTTAGTTGCTAATAGACCCCTTGCATTGATTTCGTAGAAGGACAAAATAAAATAAATCCAAACTCCTGCTGAGAATCGKAACCTATTGGTTTTGTTCCCCAGATTCAGCTGCATTCCTAAGTGCTCCAAGGGATCTATAGACCCCTAGCATTGATTTCCTAGAGGAATTATTGTTCTGGGGRAMAAAAYAATAGGCCGTCTTCTCTTATGCAAAAAATGATCCATTGTTTTGTCCTCGGAAACGGTGCATGGGATCTATATTTAATAAATTTAGCCACGAATTAAGAAGACTGTTAACTTAAATTTCAGAATTTTCTCCCCATCTCGTATTGAACGCGTGTCTACTTTGCGTGTCCAAGTCGGGGGAAAAAACAACAAGCAAACAAACGAAC